ATTGCTAATAGGTGGGTGTAATTAACAATCTGGTAATTTCCTATTTTAACTAATTATTCTCACTAAAGAAGTGCTTAGCTCCTAGTCAGTAAAGAAGGGATTCCATGCTGCTCAATGAGTTCATGTGTTAATGTTCATACCTTCTAAATTTTGGTGCCCTGGGGCTAGTCACTCACTCTAGATGGTCTAATGACTTAAGGAAGGACAAAGTAGTCCTGCAGGAAAAGGTGACTGTGGGATGAGCAGAAAGTGCCTGGGAAGCAACAGCAGTGAAGGCATGGTTGAGAACGGCTGTCCTTGTAACTCATCACCCTAGCCTAGAACCATGTTGGAATTCACCAATACAGCAGAGGTTGCCAAAACCTGGAATTTTTTTCCAAGTCGCACTTAGGAGGGTGATTGATAGTTGTGTTCTTTCTTTCTCTTCTCGCAGGCTTTCTGGACAAGTGTCCAGTGCTGTGAGCTACTGTAAGTAACCTGCATTGGGGGTAGGGGAAGGATTTTGTTGAGAGTTCCTCACTGTCTTTCCTGTCTGGGATGAGAGCGCCCTGTATATTTGTATACAAAGATATGGTGCTGGGAAAGATCTAGGGGGAAGGGGGCACCCAGAGCATAGGCAAGATGAGAGATGATGGTGGGGGAAGTATGAGAGGGACTTAAAGCGTAAGATGAGGAGCTGGGATTTGGTCACGAGCTGTGATAGGGGAGGGAGAGGGAGAGAAAGAAGCAAGGCTGGCTTACTGTTGAGGAAGATGATTCTTGTGTGTAGGATGGATAGCTGGGGACCTGGTATGGGGCTCTTCAGGGACTTGAGCTTCTTTCCTGTCTCCCTATAGCTGTGGTTACCAGCAGTGTCTCATCTACTGGGACAGCATCAGCAAGTCTCGGTTATGGGGGTAAGAGCTCCGGAGAAGGAAGCAACAGACACAGCTCTGGGATTGAATATAGCTCTGGCACCAGGTCCAGCTCTACGCATGCTACTTCTGGATCTGCAGGAGCCAGCTCTGGCTCTGGAACCCAAGAATCTAGTTCTAGGAAGGGTTCCAACTCAGGGCAGGGAAGTCAGGAGGGTTCCTATACTAGAGAGAAGTTCTAAAGGGGTTAGATTTTTTTGTATCCTCAAGCTTGGTTAGGTTCTATTGTTCTGGCCTCTGATGCATCCTTCATCATCTTAGGCCATTTGAGGATGATGGTCTCTTGAATCAAAAGCAGATCTCTTTTCTCTATTCATCCTTCTCAGTGAAATTGGGAAGGCAGGAGGAGGAGTGTTTTGGGGTTGTTCATCTTTTGTCTCCCTTCCTAATTTGTCTTTCCTATTATTCCTTTTCTATTCCTTGGAATTCCTACCCCTCTCTATTCCCTATCAGACTGCTGACAGAAGCTGCTTCTTCTCTTTCTTCTTTTCCACCCAATCCTATTTCTAAATAAGGGGTACAATTATGAGCCAATTAGTGCCAGCCCTTGATTATCTGCCCCAATGGAGGGGAGATAATTCACAGTAATGAATGCTCCCAAAATCATATCTATTTGGGGTGTGCATTGTATGGCATTATTATTGTTTTTGACAACAGGGTTTGTTTTCTGCACAAGCAGATTTTCCATCTCTGAGTCCATCTCAAACAATGGAGAACAGATAAAGTCCAGAAGTATGCTGAAGGGCAGGATGATTTCTATCTAGAACTCAAGCCTTTTCTATAAAAAGCTTAATTTATATTTGAATCATTGAGACTACCTGCCATTCCCCAGAACCCAGTAGGGTGGGTTCTTCCTTGGTTGGTTTTTTTTGTACACAGTATTACTCTTGGAGGGTATAATTAAAACCCCATGAAAAGGATCAAAGGTGTAATTGCCACCAAATGGAGCGTTGGGCACAGTAGTGGGCTCCCCGGTAGCTATCTAATCTCAGGTTGAGGATGAATATTCCTTCTGAGTAATTGGGTTAGGTGAGATATCAGAACTAAGCTGAGGCTGATAACTATTTGTGGATCATATCTTGCTTGTTGTCTATGCTTTTGGACCTTGTTTTAAAGCCTTGAATGTTCTTCCTCCCCCTTCTCCCCATCTTATCAATAAACTTCATTAAAAAAGTCATGTTGTGCCTAAATATTGGTCATGGGTGCTGTGCAAATGGACTGCAGCCTTCCTTAATCATATGATCCACTCTATCCCCTCCTTTGACCAAGATGAAAACAGTTAGTTATCTCTTCTTTGTTTATTAACAGAGGACATTATATTAATTAGAGGAAAAATAACTTACACTTGTATAGTACTTTCTGGTTTACAAGACACCTTCCTCACAACAAATCTTCAAAGTAGATGGTGCATGGATCATTATCCCTGTTTTACAAATTAGAAAACTGAGACTTAAATAGGCCATGTGTCTTGTCTGAAACCTGGGCAAACTTCTCAGAATTGCAAATTCTTTGCTTTCTGTACCAAAGTAGGCTGATAGAGCTATTATGTGATAGACTGACAATCTGTTGCTGCCTGGGGCCAGTGTGAACAACCTTTTAAAAATGTGTTTTAACTTTGATCATTTGGGAAATTGTTTTAGCCCAGTGTCAAAAATCCTGGGACACAGAAGAAGGAATGATTAGAAAGGGTCTTTTATAAGCTTATCGACTTTTAGAGTTGGAAGGGAACTTCTAGATCAACAATTCCATCTTATAGATGAAAAATCCAAGGTTCACAAAGGTAAAGTGATCACATATTGTAGGCATATATTTAGTTCTGGGGGAGAAACAAAGGCCTATTGTACCACCACTGTTCCTCAGACTCTCCTGGAGGCAGTCCTGGACATGGCACCCAAACATATTACTTAAGAGATAGAAAAGAAAACTCTTGTCACTATGGTGACACAGTCGGATGGCTCACCATCATTGATACCAATGGAAATAACTCTGATCAAGAGGCATTTTCATCTGCCTCGACATTGATGCTTACATACCCCGAGGACCTCTGGGCGGGCATATGCTGGAACCAGCTAGTGAAAACTGATCATTAAGTTTTCAGTGTGAGCATTTAGGAAATAAACAAAAGCTATAAATTGAGGCTTGATTTATGGTTTTTATTGTCCAAACATAAGAAAATATCAATAATGAGATTAAACTTGAAAGTGTGTCATGGATACATTCCTGACTCCCTCCTTCCTCCTAAGATCTGATTGTTAAATATTTATCAGCACACTCTTGCTTCTGGGGCTTTTCATCTATTTCACAGGGCATTTAAGTCCTGGCTCTGGTACTTACTAGCTCTACAGAAATACCTTAACATCTCCTCATCTTTAAAAGGGAAGAGGTCAGATTAGATTGTTTCTAAGGTGCCTTCTAGCTCTGGCCTTCTGTGATTATATGATTTAACCATAGAGTCAGTTTTTCTCTTTGTCCTTACCCCCATTTTGTCCCTTGCCATACTGATTGGCCTTCTCTCCACTTATCCTACTCACCATACAAAGAAGGCCTAGTCCTGGGACACATATGGGGATGGAGTATCCCCAGACCAGTAGAAATTGATATTGCTGATAAGCAAAGCCTTAAGTGTGGAGGGGAATGGGATGGGGAGACATGATGGCAAGAATGGAGTGAGTGCCTCTCTCTGGGTGGAGCTCATCAAGGAAGACTGCCTAGGGGAAGGCACTTAGTACAGAGTTTGTAAAGAGGAAAAGAGAAAAGAAGGTCATTTTAGGTGAGGGAATTGCTTTGTCCATAGCCTGAAGTTTGTCGGGCAGAAATTAGTGAGTCAAATGTTAAGCAGACTAGCTTGCTGGGTGAAGGGTACCCTGAGAAATGAAATGTGTGTGTGTGTGTGTGTGTGTGTGTGTGTGTGTGTGTGTGTGTGTGTGTGGTAGGGAGGGGTAAAGAATGAGGTGGACAGTTAACAGAGGAACCTTGCAGACCAGGACTCAAGAGTTTGACTTTAAAGGCATAGTCTCTGGTTGATGTTTTACAATAATGTCCTTAAAACATTAGCGATCAATTAATCAATACATTATAACCAAAATTTGCCATAACTTCTTGGAAACCCTGTGGTAAAGCTTTCTAGCTGTCCAGAAATGCTGTGGAATTGACTGTAGGTTACATAGACCTGTACATATACTTTTTTCATATTTGATCATAACAACGACCCTGTGAGAGATGTGCAATTGTTATTTCCATTTTATGAATGAGGCTAGGAAAGATTAAGTGACTAGCCTACACCTGGGTGTGCCCAACTTCAAGTCTAGTGTTTTTACCCACTTCTTCTTAACTTTCCATTATAAAATATTTTCCCTTAATTTCATGTGATTTGGGGGCATGTTTGTATGGTCTTTGTTAACTTGGAGGTATTCATGCAGAGGTTACGGGAATGCTTGCCTGGCATGGGTTTCACTCTTTTGGTGACAGGAGGACTAGAGGCCCTCCCAAATCCTTTCCAGCTTTGAGATTCCAGCATTCTATAAAACCATGAGAAAAGTTTCTGGAGCTCTCAAGAAGATGAGCGTGGAGATATAGTCCTAACCACATTAAAGAAACACACCCAAGGATCCTGCACTAGCCCATCTGATCCAGCCAGCCAGTCCACAGATCTCTTATCAATGACATTGTAGATTAAGAGTCTCTTTTCACAGCCCCTCCAGCTGACTCCACCTTCCCCCATCCTTTCTCAGCAGTCCCTATTGAAGAACAGTTGGGGCCAAGACAAATTCTAGAGCCCAGATCCTTCTAGAGATAACTCAGCCAGGGCTAATTGCCTCATGGCAGTCACTTAATTAGATAAAATACAAATTACATGAGCAAAGTTTGCAAGCCAAGCATTTTTTTTTAGGGGGGGAATTCATATTATTTACTTGGTGTCTCTGATTTTGTTGGGAGAAAATGACTTCTTGCTTGAAGGCAAACCAAACCCCCAAATTAGGGAAGTGAATCCTCTTCTGAGCTCTATAAAGGGGAAATGTTAAATCACTCCCCAAAGGACTCATTCATCTCTGCTCAGGTCTAAGTACCACCTTCTCCACCAGCAACATGAGCCGTCAATTCACGTACAAGTCAGGAGCTCCCACCAAGGGAGGCTTCAGTGGCTGCTCAGCCGTGCTCTCTGGGAGTCCCAGCAGCTCATCTTCCTACTGGGCAGGGGGCAAAGGACTCCAGGGGGGTTTTGGCAGTCGGAGTCTCTATAGCCTGAGAGGAACTAGAAGCATCTCTCTCAGTGTGGCTGGTGGGAGTGGGCGGAGTGGGGGCTACGGTTTCGCCCGGAGTCGGGCCAGCGGCTTTGCTGGGAGCATCTTTGGCAGTGTCTCCCTGGGTCCTGTGTGCCCAGCAATGTGCCCACCAGGAGGCATCCACCAAGTCACCATCAATAAGAGCCTCTTGGCTCCCCTCAACGTGGAGCTGGACCCTGAGATCCAGAAAGTGAGGACCCAGGAGCGCGAGCAGATCAAGGCTCTCAACAATAAGTTTGCCTGTTTCATTGATAAGGTGGGTTGGCCAAGCTTCTCTGTGTTACCTTGAAAATCCCTGTTCATGTATAAAAGCCAGCTAATTCATGACCTTGCTTCCCATTTCATTCCCTCGCGCATGCATGCGTGTGCTCGCAAGTGTACTTTTGTGTGTGCTGCTAGTGAGAGCAGAGGAAAACAAAAGGAAGATAAGAACCAATTTTTGCCCTTGGGTATCAAGGACATGGAAACAGGGGTGGATGGGGAAGGATCAGGGGAAGCAGAGCTATGGAGAAAGGGGTTCATAGGCCCACAGACCCATAGCCATGTCAAAATGGTCTCTAGGTTTAGGAAACAACCCAATCTCTCTAATGATCTCTATAAACTAGCATTTATATAGTGCTTTCAGCACTTTATGAATATCCTCACAACAACTCTGGAAGGTAGATGTTATTTTCATCCCCATTCTAAAGATGGGAAAACTGAGTCAGACAAAAGTTAAGTGATTTTCTTGGGGGTGTCTCATAGCTAGGAAGTTTCTGAGGTCAGATCTGAACTCAGGTCTTCCTGATATTAGGTCCAGCACTCTAGTCACTGAGCCAATTGTTATGTTCTCTGGGGAGGTGTTCTGATTAGTATCCTTAGAAATCTTTATTTGGAAGGACCTCAGAGCATCAGCGCATTCATGCACCTGCCTGAAGGCAGGACTGAGAAGGGATCTGCTCAAAACCTATAGAATTATGAAGAATGATCCTACTCCAGAAAACCTGGTGGTAGGGGTGGGGACCACACTGAGCTTGAGAGAGACAAGTTTAGGACAGTGGTGGCATGTATGTGTGCAATCTCAACTACAGGCTCTCTTGAGTTCAGGGGTGCTGAGTTGCCATTGGGCTAAAATTCTTAGACTGTTAGCATCGTTTGGCACTAATTATTGGAGAGCCCCCTCAAAGCAGAGGACTGGACCTGGATGGAAAAAGGAAACAGATTAAAGCTTCCTTACCAATTACTAATTTGATTGGTTCATGAGTGGCCACTGAAGCCCTGATTAGAAAGGGATATCCTGACTATGAAAAAAATGCTACAGGATAATGTTATAAACAGATTTTAGAATGTTTAGGTAAATTTCTGGTTGGCCAATTCAGAATGCATCATTGAGAGAAACAAGAACGTTGGAATGCTTGCTTGATAGTTGAGGCTAATGTAAAGGAGGACAAGTCCACCTTCCCTGACTCTCATGCCCCTGTGGTGCCTCCAATTGGGGATAGGATGGACTAGGAGGCTGACGTAAGGCAGCCTTTCAGGTTCTGATCACTGTCCGCCCATTGAGGACAGATGGTATGCTTAGGATTTAAATTGCTTTTCTCCAGGGAAAGAGATTCTACATTTTTTTTGGACTTTCATTCCTTCCTTCCTGTTATCTTTCTCCAAATATATCTACCTGATAACTCTTTACGTCAATCAGAAGATGCTCATGAGGCAATTGCAATTTAGCCCAAATTCTTGCTGTATTCAGTATCTTTTTTGGGGTGTCTATCATGGCACATGAGGTTTTGTGGGGCAGGTGCAATGCTGCTTACCTTTCTTTGTATTTACTCTTGGAGGAGAGCTCCTTGTCATTAGGGATTTTCAAGCAGATTCTATGGGACTGCTTGTCAGGGATCCTAAAACTCATAGGATTTAGGGCCAGAAGGGACTTTAGAAATGAACGAGTTTAACTCCCTCAGTTTTCAGATTGAAGAAACTGAGGCTGAGAGAAGTGAGGAATTCATTCAAGGTCACATAGACAGTAAGTACCTTGTGAAGGGAATTTGTGCTTGGATTATGGGTTGCACTAAATGATCCCTGAAGTGCCTTCCAACTCTAGAACTGAATGATTCAAGTATGGTACAGTTGGGATTGCATTTATTTCCACTGATAGACAGTTGGCCCTAGGTCATCATTCTCTGCTTACTAAGCATCTGTCCTATGCCCAGGGATTAAAGCAGTTCATTATCCACGGGCTTTAGAGCTCTAGTGAAACATTGGCACATGGATCAATGTTGTAGGTGAGCATGATTACTGAGAACAGTTATCAGAGATATTGAACCTCTACACCCAAAGGCCAAGGGTGCATGATAAGCTAAAGCTGAGAGTTGGTCTTAAGATTTGTTTCTTTTGATAGGAACTCCTTCTCCTCTTGCTAGTAAGACCTATGATTCTGGGGTTGGTGCTAATGGGCTAGGCAAAACAGAGTCATGTTTTTCTTGGTTAAAAAAAGTGAGGGCAGTAGGGGAAAAAATTTTGAAGGAGGGGAAGGACAGGGACATGGGAAGAAGAGGGAGAAAATGTCCCAGGTAGGGGATCAGATGGATCATTGGCTTTATAGCCAGAAATCTTTGAGATTATTTAGTTTTCCCTTCTCATTTCATGAAGTGCTCACTTATGTTTAGAACTTACTAGATTGTAAACTCCATAAGGATGGGAATCCTGTCTTGGGTAAATGTTATGTCTCCCTTGGGGTTAGCAAAATAAGCATGCTATAAGGACTTGTTGAATTGGATTGTTAAGATAGGAGAGGATGAATTAGTGAGACTAGATTCAAAGAAATAACAATAGCAAGCATAAAGACATTTATGGAGCACTGAGGAACCAGTGAGAAGGCCATTCAATGGTCTGACAAAGACTAGCTTTTCCTATGTCTAATCAGTCTCTCTAAGTGAATGATAGTCCTAATATCTTACTTATTTTTATGTGTGTATATATCTCATTTCTCAACCATATTGTAAGCAATTTGAGGGCAGGGATTGGGTCTTATGCAATATCCTTCCCTCTTCACCCCACCCTCAATGTCCCACCACCACTGACATTAGCATCTGGCACAATGTTGTACACATGGAGGTACTCGGTAAAGATTTGATGAATGAAAGAATGAATGAACAAATGATCAAATGGGAGAGTGAGTGAAGAGACCATGTTTTGGCTGTCAAATTTAGCTTTAGGTACCTGTCATATTGAGTTCTAGGCAGGGATATGCTGGTAAATATTTAACAACCAGCTCTCCAAAAAGCATATATACCTGACACATTTAACAATTTTAATCTGAATTATTAATATTTTCTCCATTGCTCAAATAAGTCTAGGTAATCCACAAAGCAATATGTCAAGTCCCAGTTTGTAGCAGTTGCTGATTTCTGAGATATAAATGCAATTGGCTCTTGCCAGCTGACTAGAGCTGGTGCCAGCACATCCCAGGCTCCAGGGATATAAAACCCAGTTTGGTTTGGATTCTAGGTGCGGTTCCTGGAGCAGCAGAACCAAGTGCTGGAGACCAAGTGGAACTTGCTGCAGCAGCTGGACCTGAGCAACTGCAAGAGGAATTTAGAGCCTATTTATGAGGGTTACATCAACAATCTGCAGAGGCAGCTGGAGACCCTGTCAGGGGATAGGGTGAGACTGGATTCCGAGCTGAGGAACATGAGGGACCTCGTGGAGGACTTCAAGAAGAGGTGAGAAGGAAGGCGATCTTTGTGGGACTGGGTGCTGGATTGAGATCAGTCCAGCAGAGTCGAGACTAGCCCTGTGGGCACTGGGATATTTATCCTTTGGTACAAAGGAGACAGTGAGGTGAGTGTGCGACATCCTTTCTGAAAGGTGCCCTCCATTCATGCAGGTTTCAGGATTGCCAGTAACACTCAAAGAGTTTGATGCTAAGATTCTATGGCTGGTAACTTAGGGCTTATTTGCAAGGTCTTGGAATAATCCTTCTAAATATGTTATTATTTGTGAGATTAGGATAGGTCCCCTATGGTCAAGATGGGGGCAGACCACATATGCTCACCACTATCCTCATCTTTATTCTCCTCCATGTCTTCCCCGTCCTCCCAACCAAAGGTATGAAGAAGAAATCAATAAACGGACAACAGCAGAGAATGAGTTTGTGGTGCTCAAAAAGGTGAGGAAGTGGATATCCATCAGCAATTGAAGCAGGAAAGGTGGGGGATAGAGGGAGGACAGAAGGAAGCTCAGCTCTCAGAGGAAGGCACCAGGCCTTCTGAGGGGGTGTTACCTTTTCTCTGCTCTACTAAGTGTTAGGTAGGCTCAGGAAGGAGGGAAGGCAACAAAGGGTAGGTGGGGTGGTGGTATTGATTACCTGTGTGTTTATTTAGAGCTTTCAAAGTTCTGCTTCAATGGTAAGAAATAAATAAAACAAAGTGTTATGTAAACATGATCTATTTTTATTACAATTACCATGGTAAGATTTTGATTATCTATGACAATCTAGGAGACTTTGGATGTGGATAATCTGAAAAAATCTGTTTGGTTTGGGGATGTGTTACTTGATTTTCTAGAGCAGCTGGCTTACCTTTTGAATCCTGCTTATCTGAGGCAAGGGCTCAAATGAGTTGCGTTCCCTGAACACAGTAGTGGGAATGACCCCAAGCATGTGTGTGTGTGTGGGGGTGGGGAGATGGGAAGTGGGGGTGATAAGAAGAAGCTCATGTGGATAATCTACATGCAGATAATGGAAAGATGATTATATCTTATTTCATTCCCATTTCTTTCCTGAGAGAGGAGTGATTTGCCCAAGGTCTAATAGCGAGTCATGCCTGGGCAGATTAGAGATTAGAATCCAGATTTGGGTCTTTTTATACTGGACTAAATGGACACAGTCTGAGCAGGCTTTGAAGGTTCAGTGGTGGAGAGGAGAAGGGAAGGTGTCTTCACTTCCAGGGCATGAAAAAAAGGCACATCAGGGAATATTTGTCCTCTTCCCAGGATGTGGATGCTGCTTACACAAATAAGGTGGAGCTGCAGGCTAAAGTGGAATCCCTAGATGGTGAAGTAAAATTCCTTAAGTGCCTGTATGAAGGAGTGAGTATGCTTTCACTGTTCCCCACAGAGCTTCCCTCTTTCCCTTTCTTTCTCTTTCCCTCCTCTCACTCTTATCACCCTCTCCCTTCCTTTCTATCTCTGTCTCTCTACCCCTTTATGTTCCTGTCTCTCTCCCTTCTCCTCCTCTTGCCCACTCCATGGAAGGAGTGAATCTGTGTAGGCCTTCTTCATTCAAGGACTCCCTCCAACTCCCAACTAAAACAGTGATCTAGGTTTCAAGCAACCCCTATCACGCTTTGTCTCTCCCATGGTCCCTCTGACCTTCCTGATAACACCCACTGCAATAATTGGAAAGGACAGCTCCTGATTAAATTCAATATCCTCCTTTTGCTTTCAAGTTGTCATTCATTCTTTCTCTGATACCTGTGAGATCATGGCAGAGAGTGACCCTTCCTAGCCCATCTTAGCTGGAATCCTTGCAGCAGGCAGCATCAGAGACAAAGGCAGAGATGACAGCCTATTGTAGGATAAGAATGCCAGGGTCCTGTAACCTTGGAAGGTCTAAGAATCCAGGTATTCTCTAGTGTGCACATTTGGGAGGTCAAGGAGGAGAGGAATGTTGATGTCATACATGTAGTTTTGGTCAGTCTTGGCATTCTATAAGACTCAGCTTCAGACTTCTTTTGGTTTGTATCTGGTCATACCAACCCCTCTCCCTTCTCCTCCCAGGAAGACCTGGTAGCCCTTTTTGGCCACTCTGAGGATCCTCTCTCTAGTCACACACACACACACACACACACACACACACACACACACGCACATGCACACACTTGAGAGGTAGGTTTTCAGTGATGCTGAGCACCTAATGCATTCTATCGGACAACCTAAGCATCTTCCCATTCTTACCTTTCTTGTTGGGGGCCTGAAGAGTGAGAGTTCCCTCTCCCCACTGATACTGAATTCCAATCAATATAGCCTCAGTAGCACATGTTTTAAGTTCAGGAATCTCTGGGGACTGTGGAGCTCCTATCAGTTGCCTCTATTCCTACCAGACTCCAAGACCCAAGTTGTTTTCTGTGTCCTTCAGGGTTTAGGTGCAAGGCTGCCTGGACAACCTTTGGCAAACAGGTCAGGGTCCCAAGTCTCCAGGGCAATGGAGATCCCCTGGACCTTCATATGATTGGATTGTTTACCCAGAAATGTCCTCTACCACACATGGTGACACATTTGAATAGCCCTCTCCCTACAGGGCTTTTTTCAAGTCTGTACTGTGCTGTTCTATCAGCAATTAAAATATGCAGGTTTTATCTTTCCACTCTTTCATTTAAAAACCTTCAGTTAATTCACCTCTTGGATAAACTACAAACTCCTTAGTCTGAAATTTAATGTTCCCACAATCTGACTCCAATTTATCTGCCTGACCTGATTTTGTGTTATTCTCCTCTTACACCCTCTCTGTCAGCCAGGCTAGACTGGTCACTGTTTCCAAATCTTGCCCTTATCCTGCCGTCCCCCACCTCTGTATTTGAAAAGGCTATCCCTTCTACCAGGAACATTCCACTCTTATCTCTACCATTTGAAATCTTTCTCTGTCCAAGTCTGCCTCCTCAATGAAATCTTCCCTAATGTTCCCATTTAACTGCTCCATCTTCAAATTTCCCTAGATCAATCACTATCTGAATATTATCTTTGTTTTCTTCAAAGTTTCCCCATGATGTCAATTCAACTTGAGTTTCTTCCCACTTCTTTCGTCTTTGTAGGAGATAGCCCAGATCCAGTCGCACATCAGTGACACGTCTGTCATCCTCTCCATGGACAATAACCGAAACCTGGACCTGGGCAGCATCATTGATGAAGTCAGGAGCCAGTATGAGGAGACCGCCATGAAGAGCAAGACTGAGGCTGAGAACTTGTACCAGTCCAAGGTGAGTGAAGCTGGAGCAGCCCCACTTGACACATCCCAGAGGCAGAGGGCCAATCTGTTCTTTTCATGAAGCCAGTACTGAGCTTCAGGACCCACTATGTGCATGGTTCTGCCCTAGGTAGTTGGGGAGTGAGATTCAGGCTGGGAACACATGGTCACTGCCATAGAAGAAATATCAATCTGATTGGGGAAAACTGGACACATACCCAGGCTCTATCTCTAGGCAAAGAGACATAGAGTGTGAAGTATATGTGAGTTTAGGGTCAAATAGGTACACAAAGGCTGAGTACAGACTTTATTAACATTGGGTAGGGTTAGACAGGGAAAGCTTTCTAGAGGAGGTGAGTTTTGAAGCATTTAGAAGGCTGCAACAGACATGGAGTTTAGTCTCTCTTGTTAATTAAAATTAATTGCTGGAGAGGGGGTGCTATTTTAGCTGTTATCTGAATCTCCCCTAGTTCTCCAATGAAATCCAATTCCAGGACTCAAGAAAGAGAGAGAGAGAATGAGTCACTTTGATCTTAACATCCTTAATGGTTGCTGAGTGGGAAGGTGATTCTTCAGATAACTTGGTTTCTCACTGGGAGACTATTTCCTAAACCCCCCTTAGGGTTTATCAGACTCTTTCTCAAGGGAACTATAAACTATGGAGAGACCTTATTACAATCCTTAGGAGTCAAGATGGTGGGTGAAAGACCAGAGGATATGGACTCCTCCAAATCTGGAAGATAGACACAATCAGTATTTAAAAATAAGACCTTCATTCCCACTCCCTGTTCCCCATACAGGAAGGAATCTTGAATCTGGCGTCCTCATTTTACAGATGAAGAAACTAATCCTGAGAAAGATTAAGTGGCTTGTCCAAAGTTACACAGCTAGCAAGTGTCAAAGGCAGTATTTGAACTCAGATCTTCCTGAATCCAACTCCAATTCTTTTATCCACTGTACCCCCTCATTGCTGTGAAACCCAGCTAGGGAGTATGCAATGCAACAGCCTTGGGTCCTTGAGTGAATTGTTCATTCAATGGGATCAGTATTCATTTTAGGCAGATTTTTGCTCTGGGGTTGCTCTCTTGTTATATTTTCAGAAGATATTAGGATTTAGAGATGGATTGGAACTTAAATGTCATTAAATCCAATATCCTCATTTTACATATGAGGAAATTGAGGCCCATAAAAAAGTGTCTTGTCCAATATCACATGGGCAGTAAATAACAAAGCTGAGCAAAGCTCAGGTTTTCTGATGTAGAATTAAAGTTTCTTGGTGTGTGCTGGGGAGACCCAAGGGTCATCTTAGGTCAGTTTACTGGCAGAAAGTTGCTAAATGTCTTTCAGAGTCACCCCAAATTTTTTTTCAATTATCTGTGCTACTGTTCCCTTTGTTAGCCCCTAAGATAGAGAGTTAGCTAGAGGGCATTGGGATATGCTGTCAATGAGGAGCAGCAGGAAGGCCATTGTTCACACCAAAGTTAGAGGGATCAGGATTGATTTGCTCCCTAGATCCTGGGTTCTTAACGTTTTGTGTGTGTGTGTGTGTGTGTGTGTGTGTGTGTGTGTGTGTGTGTGTGTGTTGGACCCCTTTGGTTGAGTCTGGTGAAGACTATGGAGTCCTTTTCAGAGTCAAAGTTTTAAGTGTATAAAATAAAATACCTAGGATTACAAGGGAAACAAATTATATTGAAATTGGTGATCAAAATATTTCAAAAACAAGTTCCTGGACCCTTATTCTAGAGGCAACCATCCAGATAAAGTTGGCCAGGAGGAGACACCCATGCCCACTTTGATTGACGAAAATATTCATCATCCTCAAAGAGAACAGATTAGATAACACATGTAACATGTAGCCATAAACAACAGCATCAGCTTTATTGCTATTATTATTGTTGATAATAATACTGATGGTGATGAAAATACTAAGCAGACATATAAAAGAGGAGGAAAGTTACCATTCCACCTGGAGATGGGCTAAATCAAAAGATGGTGAGAAGGAGCTCCATGCTCTTGGGAGAACATGGTCATTTTAAGAAGTCTAAGTCCAGAAGCATCAGAAGGGTTAGGGAGGAGATAGCCTGGGAATTAAATACTTTTTACGGATAATTCACAGATGGAGAATGGAAAGTAGACTGTATTTGTCTAATGAATGTCTGAATGTAGTGTCTGACCAAATGAAGACATACTGTTGGCATGGAATCCAGTTTATTTTAAGTTATTTGTGTTATCAGAAAGGGAGATCAGGTTTGCATTATCCCCACATCAAGATGACCAAATTTCAGGGTTGGATAAGACCCCAGAGAATGTTGAGTTCAACCAAAATCTGAACAAAAATCTCCTCTAAAACCCACATAAGTGGGCATCTAGTCTTTGCTTGAAGACTTCCAAAGAAAGAGAGGCTGCTACCCTCCTCCTTACCCCTCAAGGCACCTCATTCCACTATCCAGGAATAGCTCTAATAGCTAGTAGAGAGGAAGTTTTTCTTTATATGAAATCAAAATTTGCATCTTTTCAGTAGGAGTTGTCTCTCTGTATCTTTGTTACTCTCTATTTCTTACTCTTTGTCCATCTCTGTCTCTATCTTTCCCTCACTTTCTCTCTATTTCTTCCTCCCTTTCACATATATACATATCTCTCCACTACCATGATAGCTATTGATAGCCTGAGTTATAGAAGTGATAAAGCAAAGTTTTATCCTGATCTCCACAATTTTTTTTAAAAGCAGAGAATCTTCTCATAGATAACTGTGAACTTTGTAGGTACAAAAGGATATTTTTGGGTGTCCCCATGGTCAAATTAAATGAAATGGGGTGATCAGTTGACCAGAAATTGCCTAAGATGAAAAATAAAAACAAATAAAAATAAACAAATGGCTTAATCATTCAACATTCACTTAGCAAACATTACATGCCTATGATGGAATGCGTTGTGCTAGATTCTGAGTAAATATAAAGAGAATAAAATCCTGGCTGTCAGGTGCTCATAATGGACAAATGGATGGTTGCTAACAAAGTCAGCCTAAAAATGGGTCATTCTACACAGAACTCTTTTCCCATCATCTCATCCAACCAGCACAGGGATGTTCTGCCATGCATGCTGGTTAGCCCCAAATAACTGTTTGGGTCAGTGATACTGTTTTGGAATCCAGTTCCAGGAGTTGCAGCTGGCAGCCAGCCGGCATGGGGATGATCTCAACCACACCAAGAATGAGATCTCAGAGCTGAGCCGGCTCATCCAGAGACTTCGCTCAGAGATTGAGAATGTGAAGAAGCAGGTGAGTACATCTTCATGGAATGCTGGCCCTGTCCACAGTAAGGATGAGAATGGGGAGTTGGGGTATCCTGGCACACTGAAACTAAGTTGGGGGTGAGATGGAGTCCCCACAGACACCCAGTCCTTCATTGAATGTCCAACATTATTTCTTTTCATTTCTGATATTTAACTCATTCCCTCCACTCAGTCTATCTTTATACTCAGGCTCCCATCTCTCCCATTATCCCTATTCCCTCTCCTCATCTCCTCAGAGCCTTCATATCTCTCACCTTCTCTACTTAACCCCATCCCCTTCCTCTCCACTCATTCTCTTCAACTGGCACACTCAGTCTCATTCTCTATGTTCATCCCATCCCTATGTACTTTACACATTTCTGCCATCCTTCACATTCAGCCTGGAGTCCCTACACACAGTTTCCCTCCCCTATCTCCACATTCAGCTTTATTCCCTTACGCTTAGCCCTATGTTTCTACATTACTTAGTCTCCAGCCCTGGCAATTATCCTCAAACTCTAGGGCAGAAACAGTTGGAAAATATTTTCCATAGGTCTCTGAGGACTGTAGTGGAAAAACTGTTCCTCAAACATAAGGTTTCTACCCTGATCACTTGAGAGCTACTCTGTCCCACCTGGCTCCCAATGAATAGAGTAGCTAAACAGTAGACTCAATCTGGAACCAACTACAATGATTAGATGGTGAATGGGAGGGTATGCTTGGGTGCCTTAGAATTGGTCCTTTACCCCACAGTGCTCCAACCTCGAGACAGCCATTGCAGATGCTGAGCAGAGGGGTGACTGTGCCCTGAAAGATGCCAGGGCCAAGCTGGATGAACTGGAGGGTGCCCTGCATAGTGCCAAGGAGGAGCTGGCCCGCCTGCTACGGGACTACCAGGAGCTGATGAGTACCAAGCTTGCCCTGGACATTGAGATCGCAACCTACAGGAAACTACTGGAAGGCGAGGAGTGCAGGTGAGAGCGGGGAATAGGCATAACTGAGGATCATTTAATTTAAGTGTGGCTCATGTGAAGAGCAGACAGTGGACCTCATGGAAGGAAAACAGTGTGCTTAGCTAAAATTGAGAAGCAGGTCTGAGAGACAGGAAATATATTTAGCCTCTTCCCTAGGTGCCAGCTTCAGATAGTGGTGTTTTCACTGTAAGACTTTAAATGTATCTGTTCCAGGGGCCCTCTAGGTCCTCAAGTATGGCCCTTTGACTGAATCCAAACTTTACAGAACAAATCCCCTTAATAAAAGGATTAGTTCCATAAAACTTGGACACAGTCAAAAGGCCACACTCAAGGACCTAGAAGGCCACATACGGCCTAGAGGCTACAAGTTCCCCACTCCTCATTAAGGTCTGTGTAAAATAGGGGTATTGGACTAGCTGCTTTCCAAGGTCTTATTCAACTGTAACTTTTTGTTATTTTGATAGACAAAGAGAAGTTAGCAGATGGGTAGGGGCCTGGAGATGTGGGGATGGAAGTGAATGAAGTCAGGCAGCTGGAAAGAATGAGTGAATCTGGCTTCCGGATTTTTTTAATGCCTCTAGTCTTCCCATCTGGGTGTTTCGTTGAGTGGGTTCAATATGTCTGCCATTCTGGGATGCTATACCATGCATGGGAACTCAGATCTGCTCATTTCTTTCTTACAGGATGTCTGGAGAGTTCACCAACTCTGTGAGCATCTGTAAGTATCCCCGAACCCTTTCATCAATTAAATCACTTGATAAATACGTAATGAGTGCCTGTGATGGAGGTCTTCAAATATAGTGGTGGATGCCCTCCACAGATTATTTCCTATTTATCCTGTATATACATTATTTAATCACAGTTTGTGTATTTTTTCCTCCTTTAGATTGTGAGGTCTTTGAGAGCAAGGACTGTCTTTTGCCTTTCTATTCTCTGTGCTTAACACAATGCCTAGCGCATTAAGCAGGTGCTTAATAAATGCTTGGTGCTTGACTGAATGGCCTTTGGTGGCTCCTCCAACCTTTTGAAGCTTAATAAATGTTTGTTGACTGACCGTTTATTCTTTAAAAATTATTTTTGTGAAATAAAACAAGTATTTCCATAACATAGTACAATAAAAAGATGATTGTACTTGAAACTGCAAATCAGCTATGTACAATTTGCTATTCCTTTCAAATATACAACAAAATTATCATGTAAATTTCATTTTTTTTCTTCCCTCCTTCCTTCACTGCCCTAGAGATGGTTGCCATTAGACACACACACATGTAAAATCATTCTATACATACTTCTATTTATTGGTTCTTTCTCTTGACACAGATAGCATCTTTCCTCATATGTCCTTTATAGTTAATTTGGGTATTTATAATAGACAAAGTAACTTATTTGCTGAAAGTTGCTCTTAAAACAATATTGCTCTTACTATATACAATGTTCTCTTGGTTCTGCTCATTTTCCTCTTCATTATTTTGTACAAGTCCTTCCATGTTTTTCTAAAACCATTGAGCTCATCATTTCTTATAGTATAGTAGTATTCCATCACAAACATATACCACAACTTGTTCAGCCATTCCCCAATTGATGGGCATCCCTGTAATTTCCAGTTCTTTGTCACCTCAAAGAGAACTGCTATAAACATTTTAGAACATAAAGGTTCTTTTCCTTTTTTCCTGATCATCTTTGGAAATAGACCAAGTAGTGGTATTGCTGTGTCAAAGGGTATAGGTAGTTTATAACTCTTTGGGCATAATTGCAGATTGCTCTCCAAAATGATTGGATCATTTTACAATTCAATAACAATGAATTAATGTCCCAATTTTTCCACATCCTCTCCAACATTTATCACTTTCCTCTTCTATCATTTTAGCCAATATAGTAAGTATAAAATGATATCTCAAGGTTGTTTTAATCTGCATTTTTCTAATAAATAATGATTTAGAGCATTTTTATACGATTATAAATTATTTTGAGTTCTTCATCAGAAAACTGCCTATTCATATCCCTTGACCGTTTATCAATTGGGGAATGACTCGTATTCTTATAGGTTTGACAAAGTTCTTCATATGTTTTAGATATGAGACCTTTATCTGATAAACTGTCTTTAAAATCCCCCCCCCCCAATTTTCTGCTTTACTTCTAATCTTGGCTATATTTATTTTATTTGTACAAATTTTTTTTCTTTTTTCTTTTTAAATTTTCTTTTTAATTTATGGAACAAAACAGGCATTTCCATAACGCAGTACAATAAAAAAAGATGATTGAACATGAAACTGCAAATCTCCTAGGCACAACTTCCTATTTCTTTCAAATAACAACATTATCATGTTAAGTTTTGTTTTTTTTCTTCCCTCCTCTCCTCCACCCCTTCTCTAGAGATGGCTACCGTCAGACACAAATAGACAATTTTTTCTGGACACTGATAATTGTACACCTCTAACCTGAGCTGTCCCTTTGCTTTCTCTGCTGCTTTCTGAGCAGGTGATAGCTTCCCCGCCCCCCCCCTTCAAGGATTTTACTGTTAGTTAACTAAGATTTAGTAAGCATCTACTTTGCCCCAGGCATTGTGCCAAGCACAGGGGTTGAAAAGGAAGACCAGAGACTGTCCCTGCTCTCTGGGGGAGGAGTTGAGTCCTTCCTCTCAAGAGAAAATTCTCTAAGCAAAGTCACCATTAACAATAAATTTGACAGGTGTATTGAAAGGGCACAATAAAGTAGTGAACTGAGGTCAGGCAGAGTAACAGTATGATGTTATATGTACATAGCACTTGGCCTTGGTTTAAAATTCTCTCTGAGAACCCATCCACTGACAGCCTTTGCAGTCTGATGGGAGAGGCAACTCCCAAAAGGTTGCCTTCTTACAAAGTGCCTCTCATTCACACACTTCACTCCCACACTCTCCACCAACAATCACGAGATTCCAGAAAAATGAATTCTCCCCTTCCTCCCCCCCATCAGACTACAATCAAAGGAACAACAAAAACCTTAGCAAGCCCAGACCAACGTTCAATCTTGCTGGATTGTCCTCAGAACACTTTATTCTATCAACAGAGCTATCTTCTGTCTCTCCTTCACATAGAGGTTCAGCTGGTCCCCAAGTGAGCTTTGCACTGGCTTTCCTGCCAAGTTTATTTGGCTTAAACCAATCAATAGCAGGAAAAAAAATCTTAGATCATAAGATTTAGGGCTGGTTCAACCCTCCCATTTTGTAGGTGAGAAAACTGAGGCTTAGAGAGCAGAAGTGATTTACCCAATTCAAATACAGAATAGCCTAGCTGCAATTTGAAGGCAAATCTTTTGATACCTTCTCAATGGCTCTTGTACAGGGCCACAGCTGCCTGTTCCAATGTGTTGACCTGTTTTATTTGACTCTACCTATATGTTTGTTAAAAGAGAAGTCATGGGGGAGGGGTGTTAGTGGGTATGTGATAAGTAAAACCTCCGATCAATAAACATTTTATGAGATCCATAGAATTAAACAAAAACATACAGAGGGGAACATGGATAGAGTGATTTTTGTTTCTACCTTGTTAAATTTAGTATATATGAATATTTCTATTTTAAAAACTAACTAAAGTTCATAGTTTCTCTTTTTGTGTTGAAATATTTCTTCATAGCTATTAAATTCTCAATTTAAAAAAATAGCAGAATATCATTCAAAGTTTAATTTTCACTAATTTTTATATTATTCAATACACTGTAACTATCTACTCTTTGGGAGGTTTATACACTTGTCTTCTCTCATTTGCTTGAGGAGTCAACATTTGTCTGGATAGGAGTAGTTCTTTTGGAAGCCTTCCTGGTTATAAAGTGCCTCCCTGGGTTGCTAACCTAAATCCTTGCTACTGTCCTGACTTCATTTTTATATGCTGTCTTCTTGGCTTCTCTAGAACGTGGTCTAACCATCTTTTTTCCTTCCTTTCTAGCTGTGATCAGCAGCACCATGGCTGGGAATGCCAGCACAGGGACTGGATTTGGGCTCAGCGGTGCCAGCTCGTATGGCTTCCGGCCCAGCTCAGTGAGTGGTGGCTATGGAAACCTCAGTGGAGGATGTGTTGTTGGCAGCGGAGCTTGCAGCCCAAGGGGGGAATCCAAGACCCAACTGGGCAGTGCCAACGAATACAAGGACACCCTTGGGAAGTCTTTGGCTTTGAGCTCACCCACCAAGAAAATGACAAGATAAATAGCCTAGAGCCAGGCTGCCTTTGGATGCTTTGAGGGTCTGTTCTTTATGGGTCTCTCCTGCACCAACCTGAGGAGATTGATGTTTCCCCTAATTTCCTCTTAATTCACTTCTCCAAGAAGTTCCTTGCCTCTTTAGAATCCTCTCCTTCCTTTTCTTTGCCACTGAAATGTCCTCCATCTTTGGGCTCTCTACCTTTTTCTTGCTAGAGACCCACAGATTTTTAGGACTAGAGGTTGCCTTGCCTGCCCCCCTGTCTCCACCCAGCACTCACTTCTAAAAGAAATGCTTCCATGTTCATCAGCCCTCTAGAGAAGAATATTCCACAGCTTGCAACATTGCTGCCAACCTGGGACTTTAGAGAAAAAGGGAAGTCCTCCCTCAGGGCTAATTCCAGTTCTTGCTGCTGCAGCTTCCATCCTGCTCATTCATTGGGTACCCTGTTCTCCCTCCCAAGGGAATGTCTATTGTTACCCCGAAGAAGCTGAGTTCTACCCAGCCACCTCGATTCAATGATGACTTTTATCAAGTGCAAGGATGTGGGCTTTTCTTTTCTCCCCCCTGCTCTTTCTTTTGGCCTGGCTGGGTGGAAGGGGAATTTTTTTTTCCAGAGTGAGATGAAGTCCCTGATGGAAGGAGGTAGTTTCCAGAAAGGCGAGCTGATAGCAAAGTCCTTGAATGCAGGGAGGGAGAGGGCTCAGCTGTTAATTGCCTTCCTTTTCTGAGATGTGAATACTCCAAGAGATACAAGGGGCAGCTCAGAATGGTGGTGGATGGCTCTAGTGGATGAGTTTTCTCAGAGAGGATTGTAAACAAAAGACCATATGCAATTGTACATGTGACTTCATGGTGTTGTTCACTCCTTGCTGCCTGGCCTCTCTGTTCACTATTTTTTTTTTCTCTCTGTGTCCCTCCAATAAACTTGACAAATTTACTGTGCTATCTGAAGCTTTGCCTAGAAGGTTTTCTGTTGGGATGAACTGGGTAGGTCCCTCCTTAAGGAGGCTTGATGTTACAGGCTCAAGTCTTCCCCCAGCACACCAGAAAATAATCCAAAAGGCAAGTATTGTTCCAGACCAAAGGCACAGGTATCAATGATCATATTTACATAATATTAGAGCTGGAAAGGACCTTAGAATTATTGAGTCCAACTGCTTCATTTTACATGAGTTAAATTTAGATTTAGGGAAGTGACTCAGTACTACAGGTAGCTTGTTTTAAGTAGAGGAATGAGACATTAAGGGAAACAGCCTAGTGCAGTGGGAAGCTCCCTAGATTTAGAGTCAGAGGACCTGGGTTCAAATCCTGACTTTACCTTTTACTACCTGTCTTGGGCAAGTTAGTTAATGTTTCTGGACCTCAGTTGTTTCCTGTATAAAATGAGGGCATTGGCTTAGAATCTAAGGATTCTCAAACTTTCCCACAGTGGTAGAACCCTTTAGGTTAACCTTTGCAGAAAAATCCTCCAAAATTATTATTATTTTAATTCCCATTAACAAATAACATAAAGTTTGTTAAAAACAACTAAACTTAGGGAGTTTCAGCATTCCTCCATTTGACAAACCGTGGATTAGGTGATCTCTGAGGTGTCTTCCAGCTCTAAATCAGTAATTCAAAGTAGCAAGGGTAGAATTCAAAGTGTGATGTAGTGGTTGAAATGCTGGACTTGGTGTCAGGAAGACACAATTTCAAATCTCATCTCAGACACTTACTAGCTGTGTAACTGTCATGAATAATGTTTCTGAGCTTCAGTTTACTTATTTGCAAAATGGGAATAATAAAAATAACACCAATCTTACAGGCTTGTTGTATTAAATAACATAACGTATTTAAAGCACTACAAACATATGAGCTAGTATTCTAGTTCTTTTGATTCTACTGCATTGTAGATTTAGAGCGGGGAGGGACCTTGGGGATGATCTCATCCAATCCCTTCACTTTACAGGTGAGGAAACTGAGGCCCAGAGATGAAACCGAGTCAGTGTTTTTGCCATTAGACAAGTATCTATCCTCCCAGAGGTTTAACAACTGACTCTTAAGGGGGAAAAAAGGTCCACACAACACACTTTTCAGTTCAATATGCAATGTTAGCACTTTCTCCTTCACTTTCTCAAGTCTAGGCAAACAACTAAATAATAAATAGGTGATGATTCATAGATCATTTGCCAATTTCTAAGGCCTAAATGCTCACAGTGGAAATTTAACGGTTGGTTTCCAGCACACCATGGATAAGCTTTGTCTGAGGAAGGGCCCATCTACTTTAGCCCACTCATCTGATTTGATATGAGAGCTGATTCGCAAATCAGAATCATTAAGCCTTAGAGCTTAAAAAATCTAGTTTAATGAAAGCAATCAAAGAACTAGGGTTCTTTCATATACTAATTGGAGATAAAATCAGGATTAGAATGGAGGTCTCCTGCCTCCTAAATTCAGTCCGATTTCCACTACATCATGAAATTCTTTTTCTTTTTTTTCCTCCCATTTCTTTCCTGGACCCCCATGTGAAAAACGACAATCCTGGATCCTGGGCTGAGAGAGGGTGACACCATTTCTGCCCTCAGGGAGCTCCCAGGCTGAGATAAGGGAAAATGATATACACACCCAAGATGAGAATTACTAGGTTCATTATAAAGTCTAAAACCCTGTTCCAAAATGATGGAGGATGGGAAATACAGCAAACCCAATACTCCCTGCCCCTCCAGTGTGCTCCGTACCCAAGTGATGGGGCACCAGAAAAGCGACTTTAATCAGCAGTACCAGAGGCCTAAAATGAGAGAATGAGTTGGGGGACAAGATTAGAGTATTGGGCCATAGTTAATACCATCCCTCCAGTGAAAGGTACCAAAGACCCCAGGTATGGAGCCTACTGTGTTTGGGAGAGTTCCTACCTGGACTTGATGGAAAGCACCCTCACCACTTCTACTGACTGACATTCTGATGATTCCTTCAATTACAAAACTGCCACCACAAACCTCTCTGCTCAATCTCCAAATAGTACTCTGCCCTCTGCTCTAAAGACCTCTCATCTAGGAGCCACAGCTCAGTGTTGATTGCAGACCAGAGGGTGGCCTAGGGGCATAGTAAACCTTAGTTCATGACTTAGCAGTTGGGGTGATCCAAGCAGGGATGCTGATGAAAACTGTCCTCCAGGCCTCTCCCCTCACCCCTTACCCCTTTGATCCTCCCACTCTGGTACTTCCTTTTTACCTCTAGTATTTAGGTATTTCCTTCCAGTCACTTTTGAATCTTAAAATAAGTAGATTCTGGGAGAAGACAGATCACTGACTCATCCATCCATTTATTCATCCTCTCTCAAAAAAGATGTTGAAAAGTTATCTCATCCATCCCCTTGTCCCCGGGCAGAACTACTAATATCCTAGACAAATGGGGGCATCTCTATTGTTTTTAAATGTTTCCAGAAAAAGTGATTCCCAAAGCATCCCTCACAAGTCCCTTCTATTGTCTCACATACTTCAGAGATGAGTTCTTCCTTAGTCTAATCTAATTCAGTAACTGAGATCCCTTCCAAGCTTAAAGTGAGGGGAAAGATGCCAAATACATATGAGGCTGGAAATAAGGTAGAGTTAGTTAATAAAAGCTCATATTTACATAGCATTTAAAGTTCATAAAACACTTTCTTCATAATGACCTTCTGAGGCAAGTACTGAAAATATAATTATTCTCATTTTCAGTTTTCTTAAAACTGAGGTTCTGAAGTGACTTGTCCATGCTCACACAACTCATTGGTATCAGAATTGGGATTCAGACCCAAGTCTACAGATTTCTCTAAAATTCTTTCTACTATCCAACATCACTACTTAAACACTAGAAAGGACTGAGATACTCTCTTCCCAGTAGGCCATAGGGGTTATATAACTTTCACACAATCCACCCTGTTCCCTCTGGAGATAGACATATAGATTCCCTGACTCTTCAAGAGATTAGACACATGCCCCTGAGGAAGGCTAGATATGTGGACCATTTCTGCCAAAGGAAGTGAAAACACAAAGGGGGAAGATGGTAACAAAGAGCCTGGAAGAAATATTTAGATACAGATCCTCCAAGGGGACTGAACATACAGAGACCCTCATAGACTGTTTCCTCCAAAGGTTCTGAATACATAGACTCCCCTGATAGAAGCACAGACATAAAGACATCCTTCCCTTCCTGAGAGACAGGAGGCAGGCAACTCCTCTAGGGGACTGACTACACAAACCCCAAAGAAGGACTAGATACCTGTCCCGAAGAGGAAGCAGTGACACAGAACACTTTTGGTGGGTTTGGACACATAGATCTCCCCCACAAGGATTGAACACACAGCTCATCACTTCAGAGTTCATGTAGATCTTTCAGAAGGATTGGATACACAGATTTTCCCCAGGTCTCTTCTAGGAGGCTGATCTCACATATTCTCCAAAAGTCGCAAAATCCTATTATTCAGGTCATCCCTTGGGTTCTTAATCTTCTCATCACCTTGGTGCCTCCCTCTCCCTCTGTCTTCATTGCTTATCAAGATTCTAACAACTCCATTCCTTGGTAGGTAAACAGCTTTGGCTGTGATTACACAGGGCTTTTGGCTCTGATGCACAGTGCACCATTTGACTCCCCAGAAAGGCTAAACAGAACCGAGACCACAGAGGCATCCCAGACAGTACAGGAAGACACCATGGAGACATCAACTCAAGGGAGGGCCCATGGAGATCGTCTCATCCAATTTCTTCTTTTGATTAATGATGAAAACCAAAGTTAGAGAGAAGTGACTTTTCCCAAGGCCATATTGAGAATGACAGAACTGGAATTTGAACATGGATTTACTGACTTGTAGTCTAGTGATCTTTCCATTACACTCTGCAGCCTCTCACTAAGAATTTCAAAGTTGGAAGGGACCTTTGACATTATCTAGTCTAACTCCCTGCCTGATGTGTGAATCTATTCTCTAACATACTGAATTTCAGTGGTTGTCCAGACTGCTAGTCATGATGGGAAATCAGTACCTTGAGAGGCAGCCTTTTCAGATGGTTCTAATGAATAAAAAATTCTTACCTTGAGTCCAAATCAGCCACTCTCCAGTCTTTGGTCTTAATTCTTTCTCCTGCAGCCAAGAAAAACAATCTAACAATTCAATTTAAAATATATTTATTGAGTGCCTACTGTGTGGAAAGTCTCCTACTAGGTGCTGGAGATATAAAGCCTGAAATAAAACATTCCTATCCTCAAGGAGTTTATATTAGTCCAAATTGTACACAGAGAAGAGATTTCATCTGAGACAGAGTTCTTTTTAGAGAGGACGTGTTTAAGCAGGGACTCATTAATTTTTTTAATTTTTTTTTTAATGAACAAACACCTATTTTCTCTTTCTCCTTCCCCACCCCTGTTGGAAAATAAGAACCAAAACCCTTGTAACAAAGAAAATATTTAACAGAAGAGGACCATCTGCCCTTCATGTCTAAAGAGAATCTCTACAATAACAGACTCGCTGTAGCCAGAGGAGGCTTAGTTACAAACAAAGAGGAACTTCTCAATTGTAATGGGGGGGGAATAGGAAAATGGGGTCTCAATTTATGTGCAGGACAGCCTTCCTTTTTGTCCTAATTTTGCCTCTGCCTGACTCTAATGCTTTGCTTCCAGGTGCAAAATGGAGTCATTACAGGCTGACATTCCTATCAGATCCTAGATTCAAGATTATTGGTGTCTAGATAGTTCCAAGTAATGAATCAGTCTTTGGGGACTGGAAAAGACTTTGAGGGATCATCACAGTCAATCTCCTGCCTCTGGGCACAGACTCCAATCTCTTTTATTTGTGGAACTCTTTGGGGAAGGACATTTCCCAACTCAGGAGCTCATAACCTGGGCTCCACAGACCTCCAAAGAGCTCATGAATAGATTTCAGGGGGAAGGGGTTGTTACACCTTTATCTTCACTAATCTCTAACTGGAATT